GGTTTCTTCGAGTTCCATCCATTTTCCTGCAAATTTCAGGATTCCATTTGTTTTTTTCTGCTGAGTAATACTCCATTCTGTAAATGTACCACAATTTCTCTATCCATTCTTCAGTTGAGGGATCTAGGCTGCTTCCAGTTTCTGGCTATTACAAATAGTGCTGCTATGAACATAGTTGAACAGATGTCCTTGTTGTATGAATTCTAGGAGTGGAATTGCTGCATCTTGTGGTAGACTCATTCCCATTTTCCTGAGGAGTTGCCATACTGATTTCCAAAGAGGCTGTACAAGTTGGCACTCCCACCAGCAGTGAAGTGTTCCCCTTTCTCCACATCCTCTCTAGCATAAACTGTCATTAGTGTTTTTTATTTTGGCCATTCTGACAGGAGTAAGGTGGTATCTCAGAGTTGTTTTGATTTGCATTTCCCTAATGGCTAAGGATGTTGAACACTTTCTTATGTGTGTTAGACCCCCGGAAAACTCAGGTATCCGGGGTCCCAGGCCACGACCTCGGTCACCCCAATCATCAGGCAGATTTGAGAGCTTGCTGCAAACTGCATGAGGCTTTATTGTTTTTTAATGAGCTAACCCCTTGTTAGCTCGGGTCTTTTGTCCACCCACCATGGCGGTTGGCTACAAAAGACAGCTCCTAGGGGCTCCTGAGAGATCTTGTAGGGCAGCGTAAGGGGAGTGTCTAGAGGTATGCACAGGCTCAGGATTGGTGTGCCCTCCAGGCTTGGAGGGCTTGCCCTGTGTTGATTGGCGAACCAGTTGCCATGGCCCATTGGCCCTCCCAGGGTGGTTGCTATGCTCTGTGCGTCACTGCTGTGAGCTTGTCCGCAAAACACACACACAGGGTCGCAAAGCATAGTGCCACCAGCTAACTTCTAATTGGTTCCTTGTCACGAGGCAGGCATCTGACCTCTAAGCGACCAAGGCAAGGTAATGTCAAGCACATGTTACTGTCATGGCTGCCGAAATAGGGAGCTGGTCCCTTCATGTGTCTTTTAGCCATTTTAGATTCCTCTATTGAGAATTGTCTATTTAGTTCTGTACCCCACTTTTTAATTGGATTGTTTGGTGTTTTGGTGGCTAGCTTCTTGAGTTCTTTGTATATTTTGGAGATCAGCCCTCTGTCAGATGTGGGGTTGGTGGATGTCTTTTCCCAGTCTGTGGGCTGCCGTTTTGTCTTGTTGACTGTGTCCTTTGCCTTACAGAAGCTTCTCAGTTTCAGGAGGTCCCACTTATTAATTGTTGATCTCAGTGTCTGTGCTACTGGTGTTATGTTCAGGAAGCAGTTTCCTGTACCAATTAATTCAAGGGTATTTCCCACTTTATCTTCTAATAGGTTCAATGTGGCTGGATTTATGTTGAGGTCTTTGATCCATTTTGACTTAAGTTTTGTGCAGGGCGAAAGGCTTGGCTCTATCTGGAGTCTTCTACATGTTTGCATCCAGTTATGCCATCACCATTTGTTGAAGACGCTCTCTTTGTTCCAGCGTATATATTTGGATTGTTTGTCAAAACTCAGGTTTCATAGTGGGTTAATGTCAGGGTTTTCAACTCTATTCCATTGGTCTACCTGTCTATTTTTGTGACAATACCAAGCTGTTTTCAGGACTATAGCTTTGTAGTAGAGCTTGAAGTCAGGGATGTTGATGCCTCCAGAAGTTCCTCTATTGTACAGGGTTGTTTTGGCTATCCTGGGTCTTTTGTTTCTCCATATAAAGTTGAGAATTGTTCTTTCAAGGTCAGTGAAGAATTGTGTTGGGATTTTGATGGGGATTGCATTGAATCTGTAGATTGCTTTTGGCAAGATTGCCATTTTTACTATGTTGATCCTGCCTATCCAAGAGCATGGGAGATCTTTCCATTTTCTGGTATCTTCTTTGGTTTCTTTCTTTAGAGACTCAAATTCTTTTTTTTTTCTTTTTTTTTCTTTTTTCTTTTCTTTTTTTTTTTTTTTT